GAAGGCAGGGGTCTTCGGTGACACTCTCCGTTGGAGTCCTCGGCGGCAGTTCCCGACAGGGTCCTCGGTGGCACCGATGACAGAGTCATCGGTGGCCTCTCTCGTGCTGTCACTTTCTTCTGCATGAAAGTAGGACTCGGGAGACTTCGCCTCGCACGCGGAGAAGACTTAGGAACGAAGAAAACTTATCTCATGGCTTGATGACTTAGGAGCTACATCATCTCTAGATGTCAACGTAGTTCAGTGGGCGTTCGTTGTGTCAATCAAACTTTGAACATTAACGTTGAGCGGGTGAAATCCGCCCCCAACAGTTAGCCCCCCAGCTCGGTAGTGTTAATGATAATAGTATCGAGTTAAAGACTATTGAATGTCGAGATGTTAATGTTCAAAGTTTGGACGATACTGTTAGCGTGATGCTATTGGCTCGGGCGCTCATACTGTAATATCTCATGATTTTAAGACTCCGTACTTTATTGAAGATTTTAAGATTTCTTGCTTCGCTTGCTGAAACTGACTGCGTTGCGATGGAAAAATGATTTTCGGGAGTGAAAAATGTCGTTGATGAGGGCGGGACCCGCTAATGAGATTGTGGAGGGAAAAGATTCCTCTTTCCTTTTTTTTTTTTTTTAAGAGATAAGGTTTTTTTCCTTTTTTTTTAACCTTCTCTCTTTTTTCCTCTCCACACATCTCTTAGGATTTTAGACTCAACTTCATCTTCCTCTTTTCCATAGCGCCACCGCCGACGAGTGCACCACCGTCGCCGCTGAGCTCGTTACTCCGCCGCCGACGTGACCTCTACGCCGCCGCCGACGCCTCCTTCTTTTCTTTGGTGAGTATCCTTGTTGATTTCTTTGCACAAATCTTCTAGATTCCATGGCTTTTCTCTCTTGAAAAACCCAAGCTTGGTTGAGTTAGATTTTGAGGAATAGCTAGCTTTGTTGTGCTAGATAGCAAGTATTAGTAGTTGATTGCTAGGAGAAACTCTTGAATATTTGATTTCTATTGATTAACAAGCTTTGATTGTGGATTGATTTTTGCTTTTGGGTAGATGCTTAGAGTTTTCCTTGCTTTTGATTATAGATTTGTTTGAAGATGAATAAGCCTTGGTCTTTGTTGGTCATTTGTTTGACCTTTGATCCTCAAATTTGATGTTTGTATGTAGACTTGAGGTTATGGATCCGAAGGGGTTGGAACCGAAGCTCGGTCTCGACATAGGTGGTCGTGTTCCTTATTCCACCGAAGAGACGGTTAATGTGCCCGACACCGATGTCACAAGGAGCCTTCCTTGCGTAGCCGAAGACACGAGGAGCTCTCGTCGTCGTCGCGCCGAGGACACAAGAGTTGCTCCTTGCGCGCCGTCATCCCGAGGACTACTCTTCGTGGCACCGATGACTCCGAAGACATCGGTCCTGAGGTCGCCGATGCCGAAGAGATCGCCGAGGATGTCGTCGATGATGTCGAAAACGCTGCCGATGAGAAGGCTGAAGACGTCGCCGACGAGGTCTCAGAGAGGACCCCGATGTCCTCATGCCAGCATGCCGTTGGTTCCGATGCCCCTTGGTTCGTTGACGAAGCGGATCTGCAGCTCCCGCCGGGTGCGGCTGACGCGTCGCTATCGATTCCTTCTTCCTCTTCGTTCAACTTGCGAGCGTCTAGCACCGAAAACGATGACAAAACTATACTTGCCGAAGTTGAGCAACCGGTAACAGCTAAGAAGAAGCAGAAGGTCGCGATTCGTCCAAACTCTCCTGGGTCTTCGCTTACAGATGAGGAGTCACTGTGGCTTCTCCGAAGGATGTGCAGGATCTCGGTGGAGATTGCATTGATCGCCCCCGTTTCCTCTGACAGGGCCAATGCCCCGCCACCCGGGTACTTTACTCTTTACGAGAACTACTTTGACTCGTGCTTGCTTCGGTTTCCGGTACCCAAACGCCTCCTTCGCTTTTTGGCGGCGAACCATGTTGCCCTTGCTCAGGTTAACCCGAGGGGCCTCAGACACTCATTGGCGTCTATGTACTGAGCCGAGAGCATGGCGTTGAGATCAACACCGAGCACCTGTCCTACTTGTTGGACTTCCGGACTCGCGGTCGGAAGGAAGAGCTCAAGTACAGGATCACTCCCGTGCCAGGCCGGAGACTTATCGACGGATTTCCCAGCAAAGACGAGCACTTCGAGGACCATTTCTTTTTTGCTGAGATTTCAGAGAAGACTGCTGGGGCGGGCTGTGTCGCCCTTGTTAAGGCGAGATGGGCGAAGAGAGGTAACTAACACTCAACTTCTCTTTCTTTGTTTTTTTTTTAACACACGTTACCTCATATAATGGTTTTTGCAGTGAAGCCGGTGTTCCCTATGATCGACGCTAGTGCTGTCGCCGCTATGCACCGTGTTCTTTCCTCCGAGAAAGGTCATTGGCGAGGATCGTTCAGCCTCTTGAGGATTGAGAGAGCGCTTTCCGTCGCGGTCGTCCCGGGAAAAATTCTCGGTCGAGGCGGGCCAAGGTTATCGTCTCGCCAGAGAGCGGAGATAGCGAAAGCAAGGACTGCGGCACCGATAACTGCAGCACCGACGACTGCTGCACCGATGACCTCGTCGTCGCAGGCGAAAGTTCCGACGAAGGTTGCGCCGAGGACGCCCGCCACATCGACCCTGCGTTCTCGTTCCTCTCCCCTTATTCCTGACGAGATAGCGAGATGGCGTGATCAGTCAAGGAAAAGAGCTCTTCTTTCTGGCGATAAGGGAGATAGTGTCCCCGATGGAGCTTTTCCGAAGAGATCGAGAATGGGTACGCCCCCTCCAGCCGTGGCCAAGAGAGTAGCACCGGTAGGCAATGATGCAGCAGCTTCTGTCAAGCTTTCGGCTCCTGGGGATGCTTTCCCGCCGGCCGGCGGATTGCTTCGCGAGGAAGCCTACACGTTGACGAAGTCCAAAGCTTACGAGGTTCGACTCTCTTCCCCTATAATGTGTTATTTATGATCGAGCCTCTTTTGTTTGTCATTACATCTCCTTTCCTTTCTTTGTGCAGCTCTTTCTCCATTTGAACCAACTAATTGGTGACTACGACAAGGATGTTCGCATCAGAGAGAGCGAGCTTAGCGAGGCCAAAGAGGCAAACATCGCCT